AGATGGAGGTAAATCTACGTGTTGTAAATCAAGATCAAATATATTATTAAAGGGTGTTGAAGAGCCTTCACGGAAATATTGATGGGTGGTTTGGTGGTTGAAATGAGCAACTGAATAAAGAATTAAATAAAAGAAAGAAAGAATAAAAAACATTAGTAAAAATTAAAGAATTAAAGAAATAGTAAGAAATTCAAAATTATGACTTACCACACATAGAATTTAATATTACACATCTTTGACATCTTAAAGGTTGAGTAATGCTGAGAGGACTTAATTCATAAAAACAATCTACTTCTTCAAGGCGGCATTGTTCACATGGAGCTCTTATAGTTGGATGAGAAGTCATTTTTAGGTATTTTTGTCGAAATTTATTATAAAAGTTAAAAGAAAAGTTTTAGTATTGAAGGATATGTTATTTTTAAATTGTTTTGACGGTAAACTGGGGACAGTTTGAGAAGAAGAGGAGGATGTGGTGAGCAAGATCTCTACTTAACCAAAAAATTTAAAAATTATGTGAAAATTCGAGTTTTTGGTCAAAGGCAATATTATTATTGAATTTATTAGTCATCAAGGCTATCAAAGTTGATTCATTATCTTCATTTCGTTATCTTTCAAATCATATATTTACATAAGCAATTGATAAGGACATTTAAGAGTAAAGAAAAATTCGAAAAGATCAATAAAAATAGTATAAGAGTGAAAATTAAATTAAGAGAATTAGTAAGAAGAGATTGGAGGAAGAAGAACATTTAGTTTGGATCTTTGGGAATGGAAACTGTTATGAAAAGAATGAAAGAAGAAGAAGAATATTAAGAAAGTTGGAGAAAAATTCGAAAATATGGGTATGAAAGCTTGGAAAGTGGTTTTTAGCTTATTATTAGAAGAGATATTGGTTCAGGAAGGTTTTATTGTGAAAGAGAAACATTGTTTTAGTCAGCAGCAACTTTGATCATGAGGATTGATAAGGGAGGTGTGAAGTTATTCAAGAAAAAGGAAATTTCGAAGAAGGGTACTATGGTATTAATTCCTGTGTAGTGATGTCATTGATGGATTGATTGCGCCAAGAGTTTTTCAGAATGATTCCAATGCTGTGTGATTGATTGGAGTGCTGTGGAATGATCTTTTGATAGAAGGAAAATCATTATTAGACGTGAAAATAGTCAAAATTCATCAGAAATGGGAGTTTTCAGTTAATTACATATGGTAAAACTTGTCAGAATTGGGTGTGTGATAGTTCATTCGACGCAAAATCATTGGTTTCATAATGTACAACCTTTAAATCATTAGTAGCGGAGGAGTAGTAAAAAAGTTATAAGGCAACAAAGAAACTGGAGTGAATTTCGAATTTGGAGGTTACATGTGACATTTACATGACAAAACTTTATTTTTGCAATCTTTACAACTCAATAACTTATTCATCACACATCAGAAATAGGTGATATAGGGGTGATAAATGATCAGAATCACGAGGGCTATCAAATGAGCTATAGTAATCCAAAATTGAACAACTTTACAAAAAATTCGTAATCCCAAAAATTGATTTCAGCTATGAATATTAGGAAAAAATCACCTGTATTCATCATAAGAAGATCTGTTCATCATTTATTCACATCAATTGATTGAATTCACGCCTTAAATCATTACAAATAATACTATTCATGACATCATATGATTACATTGGAGGAAATTCTGTTGATTTTGACGGTCTTTGAGGTTTTTTGGAGGTTGTTGACCATTGTTGAAGGGTGTTGGAAGGTTATATACTATTGTTAAGGATTTTACGGGCTTTTGTTCCCCTTTTTACTCATCTTATACTTTTGTTAGAGTGTTTTTAATCATCATTAAATTACTTTAGCAGTACTAAGTTCACTAAATTGCCCCTTTACATCAAAGGAGAGATTTCTTTACGTGTGATAAGACTACAAGTCTTCATTGGAATAACAATCAAACTGATTGTTGCTTTTGCTAGTAATTAAAGTTGTGTTTTTGTTGTGTTCAGATTGGAATAACACTACAACAGTGTTGAGATTTCTCTATTTCTAAAAATCACGGGAATAATACTTGAATTGAGTATTGAGACATATTTCTCTGGTGCCTTATCCCAAAGAATTCAGCAAAACCCCGTGTTGATTCTTTCAAAGAGGCAGTCTTAGGCAACTTCTACTAGTTAGTTATATTAGTAGATTATCCCTCTTTAAGCTCTGTAAAGCTCTTGTTGAGCTTTAAGTTCTACAACGTCCAGCACGGAGTCGATGATCCGTCACCTCTCACATGCTCACCGCATTGAGGCTCCAGTTGACACATCTCAACAAACCCTTACAACCTTTCCTGAAACTGGGAAAGCATCTAATGTAAGTTTTATTTCTTTTTATTCTTCTTATCGTAACTCTGGCTGATATTCACTTGATCTTTAATTTCCAGTTAGGAAATATCAACTGAAGAAATCTCACGAATGCTGTTATCTGCCTTATAGTCAAGCAAGAACTACCTGTCTCTGTAGTCAATGCCCCAGCCTTCCGTGAGCTCTTGTGTTGGATCAAACCTGCCGTTGCTCCTCTCCTGTCCAAACAAACCGCCATCACCGATGGTATTGTAGCTCAATTTCAACTCGGTCGCAATCGTCTCACTTCCCTTTTCTCTTCAATTGATTATATCAGTATCACCTGTGATGCTTGAACATCACCCAGCAGTGTACCAATGCTTGGAGTTACCGCACACTGGATGACCGAAGATTTTCAAATGAGATCAGTAGTTTTAGCATTGAAAGAGATTGATGGATCTCATACCAGTAAGAACATGGCTGCCCTCCTCAAGCATACCTTAGATCAATTTTCTATCACCGAAAAACTTTACTGCATCACTGCAGACAATGCATCAAACAATATCACCATGGGAAGCGAGCTCAAGAATCTTGTACCTCATTTTGATCCTGAGAAGAACCTTCATGGGTGTGTTGGCCACATTATCAATCTTGTTGCCAAAGCTGGAGTCTTGATTTTCGACAGCAAGACCCCACCAGATCCTCTCAGTGCTTTAGATCCTCAGCTACCTCAAGATCAAAACAATGATCTCCCTGATGGTACTGCTTCATTAATCGAACCTACCCCCCATCTCCAAGTCCATTCTATCTTAACTCAAATTTGTGGGTTTCATAAGCGAGTCCGTTTGAGCACTCAGCTCAAACAGGCGCTTGACCAATGTATCACATTCTCCTCTCAGCCTCAAAAGGTTGAACTGATCCACGAGGTCTCAACTCAATGGTCTTCAACATTTTAGGCCCTTGAGCAATTCTTTGAGCTCAAGAAAGTCCTTCAATATTATTGCAACATCAATGATTCCTTAGAACCTTACCTCCTAACCGAAGATGAATGGGTATTGGTTGGCACCTTGGTCAAATTCCTACGACCTCTTGCAATTGTCATCAAGGAGATTGAAGGTGATGACTATCCCACCTTCTCACGAGCAATGCCTGACTATCAATGGCTTGTTGAGAAACTTAAAAAAGTAAGTTTTTTCATGTTAACTTTTTCATATTTATTCAATTTCTAACTCATCCTTTTACCAATCATAGGCTTGGAGCACATCTGATTGTACAAATTTGAAGGCTGCAATTCGTCCTGTGGTCAAGAAGCTAGTCAGATATTCCACATTAGCTTTGAAGAAATTGGTCTACATATGTTCTCCAATACTCGACCCTGGCCGAAAGCTCAACACTGTGACGGATTTTACTTTGGAAGAGCTTGGTTTTGGCAAGGATCAACTTATAGCATACTTTACCGAGCAAGCTCGTCATTTCAAACGGGCTCAAGATCCTGATATCAAAGTTGTCAAACCGGACCCCGTGCTCAAAAGTGACGACAACAGACCACACCATTTTATTAAACGACACAAATTTATCCAACTTGAAGCGAGATGAGGGAGTATCTTCTTGCCCCGCTTGTGGATGAACGCACCAATATATTAGTCTTCTGGAAAACTAATCAGTCAAACTGGCCAATACTTGCTCGCATGGCTCTGTTCATGCTAGCCATCCTTGCTTTGGGTGGCCCTTCAGAAAGGATCTTTTCTGCTGGATTGAGGGTGATGTCTGATTATTGTTCAAGTATGACCAATCAAAACTTTGAAGCTCAGATTTGTCTCAAGTCATGGGGGTTTGTTTTGAGCTTGTAGTTTCTTTTTATTTCTCTACTCTGGTTAATTTTTTTTTCTTGTTGTTTCTTATTTCAATTTTCTACGCGCTCCTTTGTTTAACTTGTTTTTTTTTTGTTTTTCCTTTACATACATGCTGAAATTGATCATTCTGGTGCCCTTGAATTAGCTCACAAAAGGCTGGGCCGAGCCAGGGCCATCCCGAGCTCCCCGGTGGCCATCTTGAGTGCCTCGCGGCCGAGGCCTGATCCTACCTGGCCCCGGGGCCGGCCACGCAGCGCCGGGGCCGGGTCATAGCCCTAGGTTTTGGGTTTGCATAGGACAAACCGTAAAACACATGTAATGAATGTATACATTCATTGTACGAAAAGCTTCTCGCACTTTAGTAAATTTTTTGTTATCCCAATCAAGTTAATTTGCTAACGAACCATTGAAATCTATAGACAATAATCTATGTGTTTTTTCTTTATAAGCACTCGAGTACCTAGGGGCAGGTGTGTTGGCTGTGATAGAGGCATATTGGACATTTACATCAGATTCGAGCCCAAGCAGCGATAAGTTCAAAGAGATGAACACTTATTCAAATGTCAGGATTTTCCCACTTGTGTATACTTTAACGAGGCTTTACGAATATACAAAAAGGAAAAACGCCTCGCATCCACCTCGCGACGCGGGCGAGGAGAAAAAACTAAGTTTGTTCATTCTATATAGAGATTCTGTATGAAGATGATATGTTGTTAAGTCAAGGGAACGTGACCAGAACCAAGACAAGCTTTCAAAACAAGGTTGTGAATTGAAGGACGATCTGTTTGATTTACACTATGTTATTAATACGTTTTTTCTTGAGCTCGTTATACTTCGTCTGCCACTAAAGCCACGATCATCCTGTTTACATATAATTCACAGTATAATTTGTGTTGATTGTCGATAACCAATGTGGAATGGAGATCCGATGATGTGGAAATGTCGTGCATATGTAGGGTATTGTTCATAACCGTGGAATACCGAGTAGATCATATATCATGAGATCAGTTCATGATGACGACGAGGAGGCAGGCAAACATTGAAAAAATGACGCACCGATAAAGGTAATAGAAAAAGGTGATCAGATAAAACCCCAGTTTGAAAAAAGTCTCTTTCTTATGCTGTCCCAATGTCCGAAAGATCTCTGTAGCATCATACATGTGATTTTTATTGAGTACTCTACAACAGAAGAAGGAATTATGATAATTGTAAGTCGCGTAGTCTAGTGGAACGGGTTCTGCGGATGGGAGAAAAATGAAGAGTATAATTGACTAAACTTATTGACGTTCCACGCAACCAGAGGCGCATTGATGATTGTAGCAATTAACTGAAAGCCCATTACAAAGCAGACTACTAAGAACATATGTGCCCCCATTTCCGGTAGTACAAACTGTTAAATTTGAATGTATCATCAGCTAAATGATAACCGATCCAGTGATTCAGGCGGTCAAAAGGGTCTGGGAGAAAATCCACACCTGATTCAACTTGTTACATAGGTCGATCGGATTCAAGTAATCGCCTGATGAGAATGAAGGCAAGTGCATTCGGAAATGATCAAACAACATCAGCATTTGAATGGCCGTGGATTCAAAATAGATCAGTGAGCATACTGACATTCTAGATCTGAAAACATGATAATCTAAATTGAAGAACATGTTCAACCTGGTCAGTTGGATGATCGATGGTGATTGATAGTATTGTCTGAAAAGAAGACCGACGTAGAATACCGCTGTAAAGAGTAAAACTGCGGCCACGATGACTCCTAAAAGAAAAAGCCATGCTTCCTGTAATATCAAGACATTGAGAACATTAGCTCAAGCTGAAAAGTGGTATCTATGTAGTCCAACAAAGGAAAATGAACTTACATTACTCATTTTAAATTTCAAACCTTGGAGAAAGTGTGATTTGTTTCTTTCTTGTTTTCCTTGAATGTAGGTAGAATGAGAATGTTGAGTTTCCTTCTTTCCGCTTTATTGTCTTGATTGGAGTGTTGATGATGATGACTGGTGAAGTAGAACTTGAGTTGTTGTCTTGATCAGTATCACTGCTGAGTCTTTGGCTGATGAAGCTTCTTGATCGGTTTGGGTGACATGTCAGTAAGTTCTGTATCTTCAACTGTTCGATCAGCTTACATTTCACTCGTCACGTGATCAACACAATCCACCGACTTCAACTTTCCTCACTCTGACTGATAATGACATCTCACAGATAATTATAGCAGGTATTAAAACCTGGCTGCTCCGTGCTGGTGTTGCTCAAGAGGGTGACCTTGGAATGCAATCAGTCTCGTTCCTTCCACAATGGTTCGAGATCCTAGTACTGGGTATATGCTTATACTGTGTCACCCACTTTATACTTACTCTAGTTGCTTCGACTAGAGCCTTTTACATTTTCCTCTTCTTTACATTTCAATATCCTAGTCAAGCAACTAGCATCTTGGCTATACTCTTGATACCTAGTCTTAAGATATATAAAGAATTCCAGTACTCCAGGAAAACACTCTTCTTCCACAACCCTTTGGATAGTTGAATACTCACAATTTGCAATTCCCTAGACATTAATCCAACTGGAGAAGCTGCAGGGGGGAGGTCCTCTTCCCTTCACCTTGTCAGTCTCTTTCTTGTCTATCCTCTCAAGAATCTAAGACTTTCTTCCACTACAATTGAACAGAAGAGTCAATCCCTAATTATCAGCATTGAACACCTCTCTTCAACCACTACAATAATGAAGAACTTCACAATCTTCATCCTAGTAATCAGCCTGACCCATGTGTTTTCCAATTCAAGACTAACTACCGTGAAAATATATCATAAGCCAAATGACAGTTGGAATGAGAGTGGCAAAAACAATACATAATTTATTTGTTGAAAGAAGAAGTAGTGAGTTCAATCTTGGCATGTCATCACAACCACCTTCTCACCAGGTATTTGGGTGTTGGAATCTAGTCAAGGGGAAATTTTGGTAGGAATTTGTACTTGGATTTGCTGTGTTGGGCAGATCATCTTATATAATAATTCAAGGCCTGAAGGATGGCTCTCTGCTTCCGCAAGCTGTTTGACACTGCCAATGTGCCATTCACATTTGATAAATTCAACTGGAGAAGCTTTGGGGCAGGTTGTCTTCTCTTGCCCTATACTGTCTCTTCTGTAAGGATTTGAGATATTTAAGCCTTGATTGTAGCAACAAAACACAAAAATAGAGTTTCAAACAACTGAACAAGCAAATTCAGTAACAGAACAACACACAAAATATACGTGTAAGAAACCTGCGCCATGTCCGTGTGGTGCTTGCTCGTCAACAAGCACACACTAGTTGCCTTTGTGTCTCAAAGGCAGTCTGTGTGCGCTTGTTGACGGGCGACTGCCACCAGGACACAGTGCTGAATAAGATCAACATGGATAGGAACTCCCACAGCCCCCAGCTTCTAGTCACTGGTAGGCCAGAGACTACCACAACTTCACCAGGACTTCATAATGATTTAAACATGGTACTTATCACTGTGTGGGTCATTCACAGCCCCCAATCACGACTGAGTGGAAGCCCAGTGCAGCCCATGGCTTGAAACCTTTTTTCAATTTTTTCTTAATTTTGTTTAAAGATGTTTTCAATATGCTGTGTGGCATATCTCTACCAGTTATCACAAAGATATTGTGCAGTCATCAGAAAGATCCTGATCAGTCATTGGTAAGATCCCAACTGAGTGTTGAACAAGTGTTTGACAGCTATGGAGGCTCCATATCAATAAGTATCACATTCCTTTTGCACGCAATCCAATTATTGCACTAACTCTGAGATGTCAGGACAAGGTGGCACCCTCACACAATGGAAAATCCAAGTTTCCTTTTGCTGAGAACATAGACTCCATTTCAACACTTTCCCTGGCAGCCAAGTGGCTGCACATACAAATGGAAATCAGTGTATGTCTCCATCCAAATATCAGTCCTATAAAGGACGGCAGGGCAAGTCGTTACATGTAGCTTCTTCCAAGTCAGCTCCTAAAGCGGAGGACTGGCAATATCAGTTCAAAGTCTATATAGTCCTTGCTTTGTTACCTCATTTCAGCTCTGGAGAGGCTGGAGACACCTCTGCCAAAATACTTGACTGACTCTTGCAACTCATTCAAATTGGTAACATATGTGTTTTGGGATCTTTCAACCGTGGTGATGGAGAAAAGCTCACGTAGTTGGTTGAACAGCACCACACCAAGCAAGCCTTGGAGATGGGTGGCCCCATATGATGAAAAAGCCCAATTTGCATTTTGCTTTGGTATCACAGATTCCATGTCCATCTCAACTATACGTTTAGGAATTTGTCTATGGATTTGGGTTTAATCCTCTCAAGCATCTTATCTTCTGGTGGGAAAAGCTTCAAGGGTAAGGTGTTAATTGATTCAGGTGCATTGGGTAGTTTTTTGGATGAAACCTTTGTTTCAAAGCATGGATTGGCTGTGAAGTTGCGACCTTTTCCAATTTTGTGTGTAACTTTTGATGGTTTTTCTGGGAAGGATGGTCTGGTGACTCACTCTTGGACTGGTTGTCTTTCTATTGAAGATGATTCCAACAAATTATTCAATTCTGAATGATCATTAGATGTAACTGTCTTGGGAGCAGCAAGGATATGATGTGATCTTAGGCATGAACTTGCTTAGAAGGCATGATGGATGGTTGGTTGGTTGCTCTCCATCCTTGCAAAGCTCCTTCTTTATCAGAGAGTTTTAACTCTTTTGGTGAATATTCAACACATTCTCTTGTTCCATCTTCTTCAAAATCTTCAATTTTTTCTGCAAAGCTTTCAACTTTTGTCACTTTACCTGCAATTCTGTTTGAATTCACCAGATTTGCTGATGTATTTAAACCACAGAGTGTTTTTTTACCTCCACATTGACCGGGTTTTGATATGAAGATAGGTCTGAAGGATGGTGCAGTTCCAACGTATGGTGCAGCTCCAACATATGGTGGGTTGTATTTGTTGTCTCAAGTTGAAGAATGTCAGTTGAAGGAGTGGATTGATCAACAGTTAGCAAAAGGCAAAATTTGACCATCATTGTCACCAGCTTCTTCTTTTGTTTTCTTTGTCAAATGTCCAGGCAAAAAGAATTGACCTTGCGTGGATTATCAATCTTGAAATTCTATTTCTATTCATGACAGTTTCCTGATTCCGCTGTTGGGAGATCTCTTAACTACAGTGTCAGGATGTATTTTTTTCCTAAATTAGACTTGAAATTGGTGTTCAATTTTATTAGGATCAAGTAGGGAGATGAGTGGAAAACTGTGTTTCACACTCTGTGGGGTTTATTTGAATGCTTGGTTATGCCATTTGGGTTGGCCAATGGACCAGCTTGTTTTCAGTGCTTTATTCATTCTGTTTTGTCTGAATATTTAGGTATCTCTTGTTTTTTGTTCATCAATGATATTCTTGTTTTTCTAAAACTTGTGAAGAACATCAAATTCATGGAGCTCAAATGTTGGACAAATTGCAACAGCATAATCTCAGTGTATCACAAGATAAATGTCAATTTTTCAAGTCTAAGGTTGCATTCCTAGGGTTTGTAATTTCAAATGATGGTTTGAGAATGGATCCAGCTAAATTGAAAACTATTTCTGAATGTCCTTACCCTGTTAACTCCAAGCAACTTCACTTTTTTAGAATTTACCAATTTTTATTGACGCTTGACTTCTTTAACTTAGAAAAATGTGGATGTAGTGGCAGGGTTGGTTTGATCAGCCTGAGTAGTTTGCTTCTTTCTTGACAGACGGTGCCCAAAGGCACAACGGTACCGTCTATTTCCACGAGACAGGATGGATGTTGGACTATGGGTCATACAGGGAAATATCCCTATACTGGGGGAGGGGAAATTTCCCGTGACGAGTACCTTGGAATAATCAAGGTTGAAAATTTTCTCACTCTCTGAAAATTTTCCGTTATCCCTGCTCGTTCTGGGAAATCATCACATCAACTCTTTTCTCTCTCTCACATTACAAGCTCTGCAGCTTGTCTTTCCTTTTCAAACCCACCCACCGCCCTCAATAGGAAACAGGGAAGTGTAATAAAGGGTAACCTTGGTATAATTAGAGATATGATGGTATGTGTAGAAAATGTTGTATGTAAGTTGTAGAGGGAGTGCCTAGCCCACCGTTCAGCGCTCTCCCTCCTACTGTTACTGGTGGTCTTATCTCCCTCAGCCCTTGTCAGGGTTGGCCCCCCCCAAGAAACCAAGAATATTCATTACAAATACTTTAGGTTTGCATAGGACAAACCAAAGACAAACTTATATATTATATTACATTATTAAGTCTTATGTTAGTATACAAAATGAATAATAAGAAAAAAATAAGTATACACACTTAGACATCGTTGAGTAAAGTGTGGATGCATCTTTTAAAAGTTTTCACTACTGCTCCTCTTCCTTCCTCTTTCAATAAACCTAGGGCTTTACAAGTCTGATCATGCTAACCCGTGTTATTTCATGCCTTGGCAGACGTTGAAGCCATGGCAAGCACAATGGGCCTCTTATTGTAGCTCATTCCATTTTCAAATTTTACATACTCCTGGGGAAGCAAATTTGGTGGACCCTGTATCAAGGCAACCAGATTATGAGATTCCTTTGGGTGAGCAGAATAGTATGACACTCTCAAAACCTTCTATGATAAAGGATGATGTATTGGTATGTTCTGTGGACTAGCAAATTAGGCAGCGGGCACCACCCTCTGGTGTTCTATGCAGGGTTTCAGGGGCTCTCATGATTATGAAAAGCCATAAACATCACCAAATTTCAGTCTATACA